CGTGTTCCCTGTCAACTCTCTTTTTTACACATGGATGTCCGGCTTTCTTCCGTCTGGACTCTCTCCGCTCTCGCAGCTACACCCCTTGTTGTTCTCGGATATGGACTGTACATGGAAGTACAGCGCTGTGATATCACCTGATAAAAGGAAGTAGACCTTTCATCACAACTTCATGAGGCCATGAAGCCATCCATAGTTGCCAAGGAGTTCAAGATAGCCGGCAGTGTTTGTCATCCCGAAGAAACTGCGTGATTTCCCTGGTTGGGCCGCTAGTGAGGCAAGTTCCTGGATGTCGTGGCTGCGAGGCAAGGAGACGTCAGTCATGCTGTTGTACAGACTCGATACCTCGCACACCCCACCTTTCCACTACCAAAATCATCGGTGTGATCTCGTCGTCCCTCTCGATAAGAGTGTGAAGGAACTCAAGACCTGGACGCTGTTCTGACTCACGAGGGACGACCCCGGATTGAAAAAGATTGAAATAACTTGTCTTACATGGTGTCACACGCAAGCGTCCTTATATGTGCACTTCATATCCTGTAGCTGGAGAGGGCGTGACCATGAACTCCATAGGACAATGTGAGTTGTCGGATATTTCCATCTGAGACAAATGTTGTCCTGTCTTGTGTATCACAATTCTCCAAGAACGATAGCATCGTATGGCAATGTGAAATTCAAATGTACGTAGCCACCCTCTCCACCTCCCCTTCTACTCCGAGATATGGAGCATATATAGTGAGGTGAGACTAATCGTGGCATTGTGCAGGAACGGTAGTAACTTTGTCTCGCAGGTTGCAGGAACAGGTTCCTGTTGGACTGGAAATTCCTATGAAACATGGAAGAAACTTTAGAAAAAGTTAAAACATTGCAATGTTAGTAAACGTTCACTGCGCAAGGAGTCTCCCAACACTTCTCATCAAGCTGAGACGGCTCCTGGCCTGATAGAAGGACTGGACATGTCCCACAAGGCATCCCATAAACGAATGTCATATTCGTTTTCAGGGGCTCGAGCCACCTATGGGGGCGAATCTCTAGCCAAGTTCAAACTTTGTACCAGCTTCGGAAACTCGAAGACCAACCCCTGCATATTGTGGGTAGTGGCGTTCAATAACCAACCTATAGTCGCCAAATGACTTTGTAGGGGAGAAAAAAGTAAAAAAAGATACCATGATGAACACCCTAGGTGAGGAGCTCCAGCATGTCCTACTGAACGAGCTCTCCGGACCTACTCGTTTTATGTCAGCATAGCGATATCCTGCCGCCTCTGGCTCGGTAGTCGTTTCTCTGCGGCATCTTATGCTAAATCCATTTGACTGAGAAAAAAAAACGGAAAGCACGCTGTAAGCTGAACTCGTGACAGAAAGTACCCTCAAATTTCGGTGGGCGGAGCAACTAGGAAGGCATCAGGGATGCCATTCGTAAAGGCCGCAGCCTTCCCTCCTTCCTGTGAAGCCAAAAAAGTGAGACAATCTCAGAGACATGAGGCCAGACTCTTATACAATAAAAGACGCCAACAAGTTGCTCAAGCGCGGGACTGTCTCCAAGGGGCAAGTGGAGGCGCCAGTGGAAGACTATTGAATCTCAATGTAAAGTATGAAATCTCTTATACTTGTCTCATTTTGGGTATTCAAGATGACGTTCTTCATTGGAATTGCCGCCTGTGGCGTAGCCGCTCTATTCTTCGGCTCGATGTTCGTTGCACTTCGGCGAATTGAGACTGGAGATGGTCAGTAAGGAGTCCAACTCAACTGTAGCGATTGCGATGAAGATATGCACTTATCACAATTTATTTCGCTGCGGACAAAGGGCGTGTCAGGTCGGATGAGTTTGGCCGGTGCCAGACCCAGCTGTTGAAGCGAGCAAGCGACAAGGCTGCATCAGTTCGTATCAACTGGTAAAGAACAGGGCTTGGCGCCATGACACCCTCATACTGCCTGACAAGCCTCTTTATCCGCAGCGAACTAGAATATAATCACTGAAATTTACGATGAAATGCTTGTTCAAGGTATCTTTGCTCAATGGGTTATTTCTATGGCAATTCTATGCGTGGGATTTGCTGACTTCTGGTATCGTGGATTTCCCGGATTCTATCCGTTAGCGATGCTTGGCGGTGCGTTATGGACAATGGGTGAGTTTTTGAAAGCAGGCGGAGCTCCCCACAATGATCAGGAACCATACGGCCTCAAAGACAGTCCCCGTTATTAAAGGCAGTTGGCACGATAAATCCCCCAAGACGACTAGGATCAATACTCCTGGCAGGATAGAATTCCGCGACCCTGCATAGCGGTTTCCCCGAGGAAGGTGCCCTTATAAGGGCCCTATCAAGCCACAACTTTACGTCCCAAACGCCCGCCACGCCCGCCCGCCCACAAATGGACGACCGTTCCTGACGCTCGTATTCATTCATTTGCTAAGCAAATTATGAAGCGAAGGGATTGGTATGAAGCGGCCGTGATGCTGCATGCATACATGGGTACACATATGCAGCCGTATCTTCGGTAGCGGTGATTGGTAAGATGCCTACGGGAAACTCGTCCGAAATCGATTTACAAGTCACTGAGAACGGAGCTTTTTCTTCGCAGGATTTTGACCGTTTCACTCCGTTCTTTCGCCATTTCCTGC